TATATACAGATACGAAATGGTCTTTCATTTATATTCCCCTTTTTTTTCTTTTGTCAGAGATGGGTGGTGTTCCATTGATATTCCTGCCTCAGCCTCCCAAATATTTGGGATAATAGCTGTGCCAGGAGAAAATGTATTTATTTTCACCTTCACACTGAGCTCCATCCCTAGCTCCTTTTAAATGTTTTAATCTTCAGGTAGTGTCTCAGTAAGTCCCTAAATTCTATAGGAAAGGCTTGAACTCAGCTATTCTCCTGGCTCAACCTCTCAGAGTGGTCAGATTACAGGTGAGTGCCACTACTCCTGGCTCAGAAAGGAATTTTTAAATGAGATATAAAATTAAAATTAAAAAAAATCAAAGGAGAGGGCCGGGGAGTTAGTTCAGCAGCATAAGTGCCTGCCTGGCAAGTGCAAGGTCCTGCGTTTGATCCCCAGTACCAAAAATACATACATAAATAAATCAAAGGAGATTGATAAAATTAGACATCCTGTGTTTATCCAGAAATCTCAAACAACATGGAAAAGAAATGAAAATTTGAGAGAAGGTATTTTAGATGTCCCCCATACGTATCATGTATTTGGATGGTAACTGGACCCTGGGGACTCTACAAACACTTACGGGTTCATTCACTGATGGGTTTGGTGGCCAGTGTGCTCTTGGGAGGTGGATCATTAGGTGCAGAACTGAATAAATTTCTTGTCCCTGCACCTTCCTTAGCAATCATACACTGAGGACCTTCCATTGATCATGTTCTTCCACCGTGCTGTTTCCGTCTTAAAGGTAGCCAGTTTAGCACTGAACCCAATGGAATCTAAGTCAAATAGATTTCTCCTCCTTTAAGTTGTAGGAATAGGACATTTTCTCCCAATGACAGTAAAATGGCTAAGACAAGAATTTGCAGCCTAAAACTCAGAGAGAACTACTGGAAAGTAGCAGTGTTATGGTTTGGATCCAGACAGAATATCCCTGAAGGTTGGCCTTGTGTGTGGAAGGTGGTTGGATCGCAAGGAGCTGTTCTCACCCACAAACTGATCAGTGGTATGAACAGTATCTGAGTGTGCTGTTAGGAAGTGGGGCCTGCCTAGAGGTTGGTGAACGCCCCTGAAGGTGAACCTTCCTCCCTGGTTTTTTTTTTTTTTTTTTTTTTTGGTGCTCTCCAGTTGCCATGGTACGCGCAGCTTTTCTCTACTGGGTTCATTCATCATGCTGTTTCTGCCTTGGAGCCAGCAGACTATGGAGAGAGACCTTCAGAAAATAGGAGCCAAAATAGATCCCTCTTAAGTCACAGGTTTTGAGTATTTTGTCCTAGTGACAAGGACAGTGACTAAGACAAACAGATCAATGGAAAGGGAGCAAAAGATATGGCCAGGTATTCCACAATGTGAGGATTTCGAGTGAATAAAATGGAAGATGCTAAACTTCATGAAAACACAAATTAAAGGAATAATTTTATGCCTACTAGACTGGCAAAGCTGCCAATATGAAGGACTACCGAGGATGTGGAGCAACATGAAACATTGTGAAAAATATGGCTCCTAGAAGAGGAAATCACACCCATATATTCCTAAGTAATCCACAAATTCTGTTCACTGGGTATGTACCCTAGCAAAATGCTGTCTGTTTATATCAAGACACAGATATAAGAATGTTCATACTAACATTTTGTAATCACAAAAATCTAGAAAGAGAAAATATGTGCTTTACTTGTGGTAGTGAGGGTTGAACCCAGGGTCTTCACACTGAGCATATACCCCAGCCCTTTTTCAATTTTTCTTCTCAGTCTTGCTATCACCAAGTTGCCCACGCTGGGCTGGAATTTGTAATCCTCCTGCCTCAGCCTTCCAGAGTGCTGGGATTAGAGGTATATACCACCACACTCAAGATATAAACACTAACATGTTCATGACAAGCCATACATGCATGACTGTCCTACGATGCTCCATGGGACAGCCATACATGTACCAACGGTGGTTCAAATCAGTGGTAATGTGTTAATAGAATGTATAGTCAAAATGAAATACAATCATTCACTGAAATACCATTCATTGATGAAAGAAATGCACATCTATGCGTATGAATCTTGAATATTTTGATGTAAAATCACAAAGTAATATGTAGATTTTGGTTTTATTTGTATAAGATGAAAGAAGGGAAAAACTAAATTTGTTTAGTGATAACACACACAGGCAACAGACTAAAGAAAAGCAAGGAAATGATGATAGCAAATTCAGGAGAATGCTTAAGTCTTTGTTGAAAAGAGGAAACATGACCAAATAGGGTTGTACAGGTCCTTTCAGGGTCTGGCAATACTTTGTGCCTCAGTTAATGTGTATACAGTACTCAGTATTTTTATCTGAATACTTTTTATGTCATATATTCTCACATTTATAACATTTTACAATAATTTTAAAAAAATTATTTGGGAATATACTTGTACTTACAGTTAATGTGAACAGCATACTGACCCTAATCCTAAAATGTGGGAGGAGGAATCCTCCTCTGAGACCCCATCTTCATGAGAAGAGTGCTTTCTGTCTGGGTTTAACTGAAGGGGCCTTCAGCTTTATTATTATTTTTTAATCTTGATCTCTATATAGTTATCAGAATGGAAGTTCAGGGTTTTACATTCTGAAACAACTCTGAGGATGAATGCCTTCTTTGGCACATGATTACTCTAAAGTGTTTCTGGCTTTAAGTACTTGGTATATTCATTATATTCATGTCAGCTCAGTATGCTTAAACATACACACGTAAGTGTGCATGTTACCTAACTTATTTGGAAGGGTGGTTCAATATGTCATAATGATAGAAAGTAAATTCTAAGTTACTCTCTTAACAGAGAACATTCATATAATTATAACCCATCACACTGTGATGCTAAAATAATAATGAGCCAGTTATAGCAGTCTATGCCTGTAATCCCAGTTACCCAGAAGGGTGAGGTAAGAGAATAAAAAATTTGAGCCTTGCATGGACAACATAGTGTCACAGCACAGCACAGCACAGCACAGGTTGAAGATGTAGCTCAGGGGAAAGTGTGAGGCCCTGGGATCAATCCTTAGTACTGGAAAAAGAAAAACAGAAGAGGAAGATGGAAGAAGAGAAGAAAGAGGTCTGGAAGGAGGAGGAAGAGAAAGAAGCGGAAGAGGAAAAAGGGGAATAAAGTAAAGAGAAAGGGAAAGAAGAAAAAGAAAAAAGAAAAACTAGGTTCAGTTACCAGTTCTTCCAAAGCCAAAAGAAAAATAGAAAAGTACTTTGTATGGATTACGTGAAATCATTTACTCCTCCCCAAAACCCTTTGAAAAGAGGTTAATTACTTGCTCAAGTATTCGAATTGTGTCTATCTTCCTAGAGAACTTGACCTGCTAGGTCTACTATCATTGAGAAATCTTTCATAATATAAAAGATTTAGCAGATGTAGTGGTGCATGCCTGTAATTCCAACACTATAAAAGGCTAAGGCAGGAAGATTGCAAATTTGAGCCTAGACTGGGCAATTTAGCAATTTAGACCCAATCTCAAACTTTTTTATAAAAGACTGAAGATACAGTTTAGTGTGAAAGCGCTGTTTCAATCTCAGTGCTACAAAGCTAAAACTCTAAACAAACAAAATGAAAAAACCATAAAAACTGTACCTGATAATTTGGGTACTACAAATATAGTTCCATCATCACCAATGCAGCTGACTACTGCCTCAAATATTTTCTTGTCAGGAATAACTGGTGGTTTATAGCATCCAGTGGTCCTTTGTTCTGAAATTTTCTCCTTACATTCAAGTATCTTGTGCTCATTCGTTATATCAGCAGCTTTCTTGTCATTGTCAAAGTTAATTTTAATACAGTTAGTAACAATTGAATCTCCTTGTTCCAAGGGAATTAGCACGGACTTCTCAGGTAGGTGGATGGTATCTGATTTAGTAATTCTGTAACATCAAAAAAAAGAATGTATCTAAAAAGAGCAAATGTAAAAATTTAGTGAAAACAGCACAAAGAGAACCCCTGAAATATACTTAAGATACTTGCTTTTCTCAAGGATATATTAGACTATGCTGTTACATGAAAATGATTACAATTTGTTATAATTAAAATTACTCTGAATTATAAATGAGATTGATAAAAAATGTAATTTCACATGCACGCTATTTTCTCAAAATTTCCTAAGTAGTACATTCTAAGTACTGGGCACAACATCTTCAGGTTGATACTAATTTATCAGTACAACATCTTTAGGTTGGTTTTTGGAAACCAACTTAGAAAATATAGCAATTTCAAGTTACTAATTCATTGAGCCCACAATTAGAGGAACACATGTAACAAGTTATCAACATTTATGAAATACAAAGAGGATTAGTTTCTTAAAAACAATGTGGTATATTTAGATATTAAGTCTAATGATAGTGAATTTGTTTTTGCTTTATATTACTCTTTCAGTTAAGAAAGCATGCCTCTTGTGCTAAATAGTAAAATCCTAAAAGATATTATCTTATTATTATAAAAATGTGTTTTAGTAGGTTTTCCTTTTCTTTCTTTTTCTTTTTTTTTGGTGGAACCAGGGATTGAACTCAGACCCTTGCACTTGCCAGGGAAGTGCTTATTCCACTGAGCCATCTCCCTGGCCCGTTTCAGTAGATTTACAACAGATTTTTCTAATTTCCTGTGCTTTTGTTTTAATGGGAATACTAATGAATCACCCTCAACTAAAAGTCCCTTAAGATAGCTAGTGTTACTATTAATGCAGTTAAAAAAAAACACCAAAAAACCCACCAAACTTCATAACTGGTAGATGTCATCATATTAACTTGGCAAACATTTTTTACTTTCTCACTTCATCTATACAGAAATTACTTTAACCTAAAGCAAAACCATTTCAAGAGAGGTACACAGACTGTGTACCGATTGCTCAGGTCTCCAACCCATCTACCATACTTGGTCTCATTTAATTTCTGATTTCTCTTTCTTTTTCTATTTTACCAGGTTTGGGAGTTCACAAGCCAACTACATCTAAAGAGATCTGGCCATGTATGGTACAAAGCTGTTACCAGTAAGCTGTGTTTGCAATCCTAACATACCTACACATCTAGAAGAACAGACAACAGAACAAGCTAGAGCTACAGCAATATTCCAACCCTTCTCACCTGAACCCCTGACAAAGCTGCTTAACCTAAAACTTAGCAAATGTAGGGATCTTTAAATGTGAATATTATTCCATTAACTTGTTGTCACTCATTTGCTTCACACAAAGGCATGCAGTAAATATCAGCCAGGATTTTCAACATAAAGTTCATACATTTGTAAGTAAAGGATGCTAAAGGGCTCAGATTTGGCATTCATTATATTGTTCCCCTTTGCTTTAGAATATACATGCTAAAGGAAAAGGGAAAGTGTAAAAAGCCCGGGTGTAAGAAAGGGTTTAGGTATGCAATAGTTGATGGTACTGAATAAAGAAATGAATCTGTTTCTGAGCTGGTTCCTCAGGAGTTAGTTTATAATTCCTATTTAAGAACAATTAAGATGCAATTCAGATTTGAAAGCACAAATATTTATGTAAATAAATAGAAAGTATCCATTACAACTATGTCAAGACAATTTAAAAAGCCTGTACCTTTTTTCTCTTAAAGCCAAACCTTTTTTAATCAAGTATTTAGAAACATCAACACGCTCTCCTTTTTCATCTCTGCAGAAAATTTTCACAGGTAATGGCCATGTTGAATTGTTTTCCTGAAGTGATTTAAAAGCTCAGTAAGTATGACACAAACAATAATTTCTCATAAAAATGTACTTTTCTCAAGGCATTTCTTTACCTTCTTTTAAGTAAGAAAAAAGAAATTCCCAATTGAGTAGAGTTACTCTGATATCTAAGTATATTAGAGAGAAAGCAGAGAAATAGCACAGATGAGTTGATGGGACCAACATTTGTTTGTGAAATGTTAATATAAAGGTGACCTTACCAAAAAAGGAGCAAATGAAAAACAATTTCCATTCTGAATAGGAGAAAAAAGACACCACTAGTTAACAATTTTCTTTCTTCCCTTACACTGTACACTAATCAAAATATACTTTTCAGAGTGTACATTTTTTCCTCTACAAAAGCAAAAGAAATAACTATAAAACATATGCTCTACTTCATATGGAAAAGGTTATAAAGTACTCATAGAACAAGGTAACACAGAAAAATGAGTTATATAGAAAAGTTTAATCAGTAACAGTAAATATACTTAAAACTAGAAAACAAAAGCAAGTTATTTTTAAGTGCTCTGAAGGTTTATGCCTCTTCTCAAATATACTTACTGACACACAACTAATTTTGAGCTTAATGGACACCTAATTCCCCAAATTAATAAAAGAACAGAAAATACATTCTTGTATACATATTGTATTTTTAACATAGAAATCATCAAATAAAGAGTATTACTTTTTTTTTTTTTTTTTTTTAGGGAAGGGTCTACAGGTGTTCCAGGTCTCACTAGTAGATTGGATTTGTAGTGATCCGCCTCTTTACAGCCTCCCAACAGCCGGGAGTATA